CAACGGAATGTCTACGGTGTGAAACCACATGGTAACGAGGAAAGTCTGGGAGGACACAGTGGCGTGTTGACCATTTAAAAAGGAAGTGTAACTAGAAAAGCAATTCAAAGAGACGAGAAGTTCAAGGATAGCCAAGTCCTGGTGGCAGCAAATGCCGGAAATTTCATGGCTCTTATCTGTGTGAAGTTTTCAGCTCAGACTGGCCCTGATGGTGTTTATGCCTGGAGAATGTCCTTTCCCACTGTTGATGGGAGACCCTGCATAGGCGTCTTTTGGGAGTTACAGGGACAGTAAAGTGAGGTCGACTTTGGTGTTGCAAACTCAAAGAATTCACCTCTAGATATGGTTTCCCTGTTTAGAATAACCATCCCCCAGCATACTATACTCCTGGACTAGTACTGGTAGATAATTACAATAGATACGGTAGAATGATGCTCAACATCAGTTCTAGTCTCTGCTTGTATGCTTTGCTATGGCCTTACCAGAAGCTCACAGAGCCATTGTCATCAGAACCTGAAAAGCTAAAAACTACATTTTCTAGATTCCCTTGAAGCTTCGTTGTCATTTAGGTAGGTCCTACCAATCAGATCTACTTGTATGACGTTTGGAGAGTGGCTGTGAATGGGGAGTTATTGTTTAGTGGGTACAGTTTCAATTGTACAAGGTGAAAAGAATTCTGGGGATGGTGATCATTACACAATAGTGTGAGTGTACTTAATGCCACTGAATGGTACACTTAAAAATGGCTAAGATGGTAAATTTCATGTGTATTTTACTATAATTTTTAAAAATTTAAAAAAATCATCCCACTGTTGTACACATATAAAAAGGAAAATATGGGCTAACTAAATAAGTTAATTTCCAGTTTGGTTCTGGGAGGAGTTTCAAGTAAGATCCACCTACTCCACTGCCATCTTGAGCCGATACTGAATGAATTTCTTTTCTTTTCTTTTTTTAAAAATATATTTTATTGATTCTTTACAGAGAGGAAGGGAGAGGGATATAGAGTTAGAAACATCGATGAGAGAGAAACATTGATCAGCTGCCTCCTGCACACTCCCCACTGGGTATGTGCCCGCAACCAAGGTACATGTCCTTGACCGGAATCAAACCTGGGACCCCTGAGCCAAACCGGTTAGGGCCTGAATGAATTTCTTGATAGTTCCCTTCCACTTCACCATAATGCCTCCAAATGTCTTTTTGCTTTCTTGGTGGTGTCCTTTATAGTAAAAAAAAAAAAGTTTTAATTTTGGTAAAGTCCAATTTATCTAGTTTTCTCTATTGTTATTGCTTGTGGTGTCATATCTAAGATACCATTATCTAAAGCAAGGTCGCAAAGATTTACTTCTATGCTTTCTTCTAAAAGTTTTATATTCTTACATTTAGGTCCTTGATCCATCTGAAGTTAATTTTTGTATACAGTGCAAGGCAGGGACCCAACTTCATTCTCTTGCATAAAACTATCCAGTTGTCCCAACATCATTTGTTGAAAAGACCATACTTTCCCTATATAATGATCTTGGTATCCTTATCAAAAATTAAATGAACATAGCCCAGCTGGTGTGGCTCAGTGGTTGAATGTTGTCAACCTATGAATCAGGAGGTCATGGTTCAATTCCCAGTTGGGGCACATGCCCGGGTTGCAGGCTCGATCCCTGGTGGGGAGTGTGCAAGGGGGGCAATCAATGATTCTCTCTCATCATTGCTGTTTCTATCTCTCCCTCTCCTTTCCTCTCTGAAATCAATAAAAATATATTAAAAAATTAAATGATCATAAATATAAGGGTTTATCTCTGCATTATCAATTCTAGATTATATATAAATCAATATTTCATTGATCTATATGTCTGTTTTAGTACCACACTGTCTTAATTACTGCAAGTTTTCAGTAGGTTTCAAAATTGGAAAGTGTGAGTACTTCAACTTTTTCTTTTTCAAAACTGTTTTGGCAAATCTGGGCCCCTTAAAATTTCCATATGGATTTTAGGATCAGTTTGTCAATTTCTACAGAGAAAACAATTTGAATTTTGATGGGTACTGAATTCATTACTTTGCTTTTTGATAACACTGAAAAATGAATATGCTACTTCATAATCTATATATATATAAGACTAATATTCAAAGTGTCCCCTCAGGAGTTCAACCAGGAGACTGGGAGTTCGATCACTCGCTATGACTTTTGCTGACCACCAGGGTGCGGTGCAGATGAAGGAAGGCCCCAGCTGGCAGCCAGAAGGCCCCAATCGACCCTGATCGCCAGCCAGGCCTAGGGACTCTACTCATGCATGAATTTCATGTACTGGGCCTCTAGTTATGCCATAAAATTTCAGTGGTTGAGCAATGTGGTCCCAAGTTTTCATATTAAACAACTAGAGGCCCGGTGCACAAAAATTTCTGCACTCGGGGGGGGGGGGGGTCCCTCAGCCGGCCTGTGGGCTTT